ACATCCGGAACTACCGCCCCATTAGCCACACTGTCATTCTCTTACGCGTGATAGAAAGAATTGTTAAGGAACTTATGGTTTCGTTCCTATTATCGCACAAACTTCTCTCACCTTCACAACATGGCTTTCCGAAGTCCCGCTCGTGTGGTACCTGTCAATTTAACTTCTTAACCATCTAACTGAAGTAACTGACTCAGGTCTTCAGCGCATTGTCATCTTCCATGACATGTAAAAAGCGTTTGACCGAGTCCTACCCAAGAAGCTGCTATATGAATTAAGTAAGTACGGTGTTACAAATCCGCTTCACTCTTGGATCCAGTCATACCTAGTAAGACGGTCGCAGGTTGTGGATATCAATGATTAGATCTCTTCAGTCGTCTGGTCACCAGTGGAGTGATACAGGGCAGTGTCTTAGGTCCGTTACTCTACCTACTGTATATAAATTACCTTGTTTCTGTTATGCAATTTGGGAAGCCTTATTTGTTTGCTGTTGATCTAAAGGTGATTTTTACGTTCCCAGGTTCTCAGCGTACCGCTGAACTTAACAATATCCAAAGCGACTTGAAAGCCATTGAGATATGGACTGATATGTTGCAGATGACATTTACAACATCGAAGTGTAGTATTCTGGCGTATGAATGCCAGATAGCAGCAGAATTGTTCAGGATTCATGACGAAGTCATTCCCATTAGCCAGTCTGTTCGTGACTTAGGTTTGATGTACTCTGGTTCGTTAAACTTCAGCGAACATACAAAGCATATCGTGGAAAAGGCTAAGCTGTCACTCGGGCTCATAAGCCACCCTGAAAGAAACCAGACTAATTGCTTTCAAAATCAGTATCAGGACTTTGCTTGAATATTACTGTGTTAGGTTTAGTAACTTGCGAAAGAGTGAATTGACAGCCATTGACAACGTTCAACGCGCCTTTACGAAGCATATATTGGGCTATTCAACCGCTCTTTCATACAGAGATAGTTGCAAGGAGCTGAAACTTGGACAAATATGCTTACGAATAATGCAAATAAATCCGTGCTTCCTCCACAAACTCGCGTGGCGGAAAGCACATGTTGGAACCTATTAATCGCTCTTTCCGGATAATACCATTTATGAACTGCGAGATAGTTATTGTATATTCTCTTTACCTAAACTCAAAACCAGCCAAAGGAGAAGTTTCTACCTTCTTAGGTATGGCTCCAGATAGAATAAGCTGCCCAAAAGATTAAATGTATTGAAGATTTTTGCGTTTTCAAGAAAATGATAACGATTTATCTGTCAACTGACAAAGTGAAATGGATCTTGAAAATTCAAATTGTTGATTAAAAGCTGTAGGAAGAAGGGCCGGGTCATGTATAATACCGGAGAATATCGACTGGAAACATATGCAACAAATACGCCAGAACAAACATGATCATCTAGGATGAGCTGTTACAACCGCTTCTTATGCTTTTCTTTAATGCAACCTCCTACGCGGTTTACCGCTTTCAAACTTACTTTATGCCTACCGTCTTTGGTCAAAAACGGGGTGTAAAACTATTTACTTGGAATGGACCAGGAACTATTTTCGTATTGCTCCCCTCAAATGAACTAATTTGTAAGAGGTTTGTCCTACGATTACCTTCACTACATTTATTCTGTAATGCCAATCATTTCCCTTTCTTTTCTGGAGGTAACAGTCCCGCAAAAATATACTGGAATTCAGTGATGGCAATAACGGATTCCCTATTTGACTTTTTGCCTATGGACAACTCGTACGGTTATCTGTCTTCGGGTGTCACGCCGCCCAATTTCATAGTATGATCGGGTCGATCCATTGTTACACTGATGTAAAACATCCCTGCTTATTTTTTAACATTAAGGATATAATACATCTTTTACACAATTTTTCTTCTTTTAGATTCCTCCTTATTTCATTTTTGGCTACGACTGGGCTGATCTCCTGAGGTGACGGATTATAGCTTTCAGATTATAAAAGACTTCACCTATGCAAAACACATTGTCCCCAACAGACCGGCGTACAAAAGATGTGCTATAATTGGATGATCCGCATGGCGGATAGGGTTGAGGCTTCAACCCAAATAATACATGTAAAAAAGCAACCCTAAAAAGAACACAACATATGATAATCAGGTGATGGCTCATATGCCACTATGCCACACCTGCACGCGGCCAGGTATAGCATGGAAGTGCGGGCGAAAACTTCCGAGAGAATACCTTGCATGGAAGCAGGTCCCCTGGGACAATTCCACGAGTGGTCGTACTATTTTAACTGAACTTTTGTTTAAATCCGCACTTGTTATTGTTCCTGGTTTTTAATTTCTTCAATACCGTATACTTGTCAATTAGTTTAATACCCGTTTTGGATCCATTGTATAAAGAGTGATCAATTGGTTATTTTATGCGATCCTGCTGTACACATTGATTAGACCACATAGTTGAACTGCACCTCGCATCACCGAGGAAGATGCCATTTATTTATTTATTTATTTATATGCTCTCGGATATTCATCCAACGCGATCAATAAAGCGAAATCCATCCATTTCGCTTTCCACGCCCTCCAGCTATCCGGTAATGTACTTTCTGTCATTTATAGCGGCTGCGGCAATGGAATCAACCTTTGTGCCTCATATGCGAGCTGGGTTTGATACCTCAGCAACTCTGTTACCATGTTTTGTGCCTGGATCGCCCGACCGCGTCAGCAGAAAGAACTCGCACCGGGTCTGCACACAAACGCCGTATTCTCAACTCTGAGGCAAAGTACAAATAGCCCGGTGTTTAAAAACTTGCTCGTACGTTCGATCGATCGCTTGATTGACCACACTGAGGCAGGCGATTCCTTTCACCTCAGGTTTCAATCAACATCATAGGAGGAAGGAAACATGATTTTGTTGTCGGGTTAAATAAAGCATATGCTTTCTCGCCGCTTCTTGCTTGCCCAACGTGAAGGAATGGGTACTCGCAACCATTTAAGAACGTCAGGCATCGATCTGCACAAATCAGTCCATCTTAATCCAACGAATCAATCCTCAGTTACAACTGAACGCACAAGTCATTGATGTTAGCGCAAATCCGAACCACCCATTTATCGACCCTATGGGACATAGCCACGTTGTCCCCACACTTGATATGTGGTGGCGTATGTCCACACATCGCTTGCACTAGCAACGCTCTGTAGCATTCAGTTATATTCGTTTTCTTTTGCCGTTCTGTCCCGCATCAGCTATCATACTAAGGTTAGCTGACCTGACGCAACTGACCTAAGATGTCCTGACGTCGTTTCACCACCTCAGCAGAAGTCATTCGGCTTATTACATTGATTATTTACTTTGACAGTAAACCATTCATTCGACTATAAATCCGTTAGCTTGTGCAGGTGACACGGACTTTGGGAACAGTGTTCAATCAATTAGCACGCAGATCTAAAAAGCGAAATAATGGTTGCAGGTACAAATGACTATTCGATTCACATCGGTTTGGGGTTGATCAATAGATGAGGTCCGCCATTCAGCGAAATTCTTAGCTGCTTCGACCAGCAGCCTTCCGGTTAGAAGTTGAAAGAGTGAAACCTGACATTTGACCGACCATTATGTGTTATCATGTAGGTAAGCTACTCCATTTAATGTTGCATAAATCATTAAGGGTACCTCAGATCGAATCGGGTCAGCATTGAATCGTCAGCCCTTGTCAATGGTTCAGAACTGAGAGTATTGTATAGTTCTTTGATAAGAGCGCTACTGTCGCAGAGGCTCCAATACCGGACTATTTCGCATCATTTGTACAACTTTCATAGGAAATAAATCAAGAAAGCTATCCGGATCCACAAGCATTTTCAAAACGTTCTCTCTAGCTCAGAGGGTATGCCGCATAATATATTTCAATGCTAACAAACTGCAAATTTTTTTAGATTCATCAAACCTAGACTCAGCCAGATATCCGCGACACATCTAGTAATGCGCAAGACGGTCCTTTCGTCCTATTGGGACTCGTCTGTATTGCGCACCCACCGAATCCTGCTGGATTCGAACCCATGACTCTACTCTTACAAGCCAACGACACATAACTCTGATCCATGAATGGCGGCAGCTGATAGTCATGCTTGTTATCTGACTGGAATATAACACTGCTCATTCTCCACCATCATGCTTGTAATGAGCGTGCAAAGGACAGGGCTGGCCCCCTGAGCTACTCAATTCTTTGCAGACTACCAGCATCGGTAATCATTTTAGCAGCTTCTATGCCACATGAACTGGTGATGAGTCGCCGCCGAAACCCACTGCACAGCAGTATAGTTCATTGGCTCGTAAGAGTAACGTCATGGGGTCGAATTCGGTAGGATTCGGCGGGTACGCTCTATTGACGAGTCCCAATAGGAGGAAACTGACTTCTAGCACTTTTCTGGATGTGTGGCAGCTGTGTGGCTGAGCCTAGCTTCGATGAAAGTTCTGAGCAACACAATAAATTTATCATTACTCACGAGTAAACTTCAGCTTATCGGTGTTTAGCATGATAGCCAATGAAGCAAACAGATGAGTTTGATGTTTACTAGGTGCTGTCCATCCGTAACTACACTATTATGTATATGCTTTGTTCTGGCTTATAATCTTAATTAGTACTAACTCCGCACGTTGAGATGAAACCTGATGCTTCTACTCCGACGCAACAAATCCTCCCCTCGCCTTTCGAAACGGAAAGCGGATGGTACTTTTTCTTGTTCGAGGCATTTGTTGAATGCATTTGGCTTGTGGCACAGACTCTCGAAGGAACAGCTTTCTATTTTGTTTGGACCTTCAGTCATTTCTATGGCAAAGACGATGAACGCTTCAAGTTTAAAAAAGCTCTGCTTGCGGAGCTCGGTAGTACGGTAGTACAAATATTAATTGACAGTCATTGTGTCCTGCTTTCGATTATCATCTGAACTATAGCCACCAGAAGAGTGCAACCGATTAAGAAGCTAGGCTTTGCGTGTAGGGTGGGACACAAACAACATGGAATAGTTTCAGCTATGGTCTCCGACGGCGAACTGGATGAAGTTCGTCCCAAAGTGAGTAGTGATTCAGATTTAGGATGTGACATTCCACCCACCCAACCGGTACGCAAATACAAACCGGCTACAAACTTCCAAGATTTGTTGAAGGTTTACCACAACAGCTTCCAAGTCAGATAGAAGACCCCCCATCTAGAAAATCACCAGACACCGTGTCGTGTTATTGTGACTTTTCTTAGGTATACAGTACTCCGCTCCACCAGGAACGGAACTCCATTGCTTGACGCCAGTGATTTGCGACTATATACAGCAGCATAGGACACTAAGCCAGGGTGATAGGGTCAGACCGTCCTGACGGCAAAGTTGACTACGATATAACGCGACCTATCCTTCACTGCAATGAAAATTACTAGCATTGCACATTAACGGCTGGGCCCTGGAGTCACGGCTTCCCGTAAAATTAGCAACCTACGACCCACCAATTAAAAGCTGTTATGGCGAATGTTTTGAAAGTTTCTGTGGTAAACTCCAAATAAAATTGCAAGAAAAGCTTTACTCGTAAATACCCAATATATTCAACTTAACAGCCTCGTGAAGGTTTGTTCCAATCACATTCGCTGTTTGCGGCTACCGGCTTCGCAGGCAAATCCGACATCTCTGTGGAGATTATAACCTTCCTCCCTGATTATAAGAGATGCGCGTGTCAAGAACCAGACTGCTTCATGCCAAGACCCGAATAATCTGATACTGTGTTGACTAAGAGCGAACTAGGAAACATGAGGAATGCCGAAAGAACTCTCAGCAATTAACATTGATCCAAAATCGAAAGGCCCAACGTCCTGACCAAAAACTAAACAAAGTAAAACAATTGATGACGAGTTACTGGTCCCACGATGCATGGACAATCATCGATCTCAGTCGTTTTTCGCATAGTTTGTTTAAAATTCTAAACAGTTAAAGCCCGTTTAACCATCGTCCGTTGTGTAATAATACCCGTTGCCAATGTGCTTATCGGCGTTCAAGTCGTTACATACATTTTGGACAGGGGAAGTAAGCACAGCATATAATAGCATAGGTCTATTGTGAAATAGCAATGATTTTGGCAGCCTTTCATGAAGCTGCATATTCGTCGCTCGTGATGTTATGAGGTTGCAATGCACCAGTAAAGTAAGGGAGGAAACCACGGACTGATGCATCTCTGTAAAAGCGTTCAGTAGCTCTTTACATTTCAAACACTAATTCGGGACCCCATATACATAATGGCTCGCAACGTTTAAATCTACATAGTGCGAAAATCCTTGTATATGTCCAATTGACTCCTTGAGAGACCTGATCCTCTATGTTTCAACTATAATATATAGGAGACCTTTTTACATTGCATTGTCGTTCCTCATTGGTAGATGAGCGCAATCTGTGGATTGCCGGTGGGCAGCTAGCTACGAAGGATTTCAACTTGACGTTAAAATAGTTGGGACTATGTTGTCACGTATGTTGCACACTTAGCCACCTTAGATGTAGAAACGACGCATAGTGCCGGGCTCTTAACGGAATTCACTTACGCGTCACGGTTGTACCCTTGTGCAACTCTTGTGTCGCCGCTCCATATGCTGTATTCGACACGGCTCAAGAGGTCAGTCACCTGACCTCGCATTCGAAGGAATATGAGCATGTGAGTGTGTTTCGACATCCGCATCACTTAATTGGGTTCCAAAGCTTTGACCAAATTAACAACCGGTAGTGAAGGCGATTGTAGAAAGAAGTCCAGATAGACAAAGCTGAAAGCAATATGATACTCGGGTTTACTCGTTTAAGACTGGAATTCGACTGGCGAAAATATCGGCTACGAGGCGAAACTCTCCTCGATTCAGTGGCGCCTGTTATGCTATCCTACTAGGTGGGTGTATCGTTTAGTTAGCACAGAAATGTGATAACTTTGTACCGATGATTGAGGAGTCCCAACTTGTTAAATGAAGTTCCTTTCCACCTCCAGTCGTAGTAGTGCTCGAATCTTAAGATTCAGTTTGGGAATAAGGTGGCCAAGCCCCAGGAAGCACACCAGCCTAACAGTGAGCAACCACAAAATTCCGTCAACTCCGGCCAGGACTCCTAATTCAATTGGTTTATCATTCGCAAATTCATCAGTGTGTATTCGAAAACATCACCGCGGAAACAGTAGCTACAAATGCGCTATGTATCACAATTCTGTGGTTCCATTTGTTATGATGCTCAGGGACACGAAAACTGCTACACATGGTCACATCATTCCACCGAAGGTATAGATCACCAGTTAATTCCATGCAAAGCAACATCTCACTGGCGATCTTTTATTCTGACATCCCTAGATCTAGTATGAATTAGACAAACGACAAGCTGTTAGTGAGGTCCTCTGCAAAGCACCGAGCACCCTGTTAGAAAACCTTTAGTAGGGAGAGATCATTCCAGCTGACTGGAGTTAATCGGTTATAGTGGCGATGTACAAGAACGGCCATCGCACCGAATGTGCTAATCAGCGAAATATTAGGCTAACGGCAGTAGCAATAAAACTACTGGCCTCAATTCCAACGTTGGGCTCGACTCTCGTTCGTCGCCTCAATGCGGAATTAGCATCCGGAATTTGGGAGGAGCAGGCAGATTTCCCTCAGGACGGGCTGTATAGACCACATATTTACTCTGCGGCAGGTGCTAGAGTAACGCCAGACATAGAGCAGACCGACGATAGCTGTGTTCCTTGACCTCAAGAGCGCGTTCGATTAACTCCATCGAGCCATTCAGTTCCAGATACCTATGGGATAGGTGTACCCATGATGTAGGTGGATATTTTACGTGCCCTGCACTCGAAAACCACATGCTGCGTTAGTGACTTAAAAGATCTCTTCTCGACAACAATTAGCGTTCGTCGGTGTTGGTCAATTTCCACCGTTCACGTTCAACTTCGTCGTTGACGCCATCATGGAAGGTTTGCTTGCGGAATCTCAAGACGTACGCGTTGAAGTGCTGCCTGGTGAAAGTCTAGTGCTTGTTGCTTATACGGACGACATCGTCCTGCTGTTTAACGATGTTGGGGCGGCACAACCAACCCTAAATAACCTCTCCAGAGTGATTGAATTATTTGGCATGCGCTTTGCACCTTCAAAATGCAAAGTGTTGTTGCAGGCCCACCTGCCACTTGATGATCCCCTGACTTTTTTTAACGAGGAACAAGCAGTTGTTGATCAATTCTCTTACTTTGGCAGGTGTGTCAGTAACAGTGGACGAGAAGCACTGAAGTCGTTTCACTCACTGGAGAAGATAGAACTGCCTTTTTCAATCTGCAACATTTGTGACATCAGAAAAGGATTCTCCTAGGTCTGAATGGTCGTGTTTAAAAGGCCACAGTAAGGGCCGTCCTGCTCTATAGGAGTGCGACTTGGCCCCTTCGGTCTGAAGATCTGAGGCGCCATCGAGTTTTTGGTAATCGTTGCCTGCGTAGCATTATTGCTGTCTGGTGGCACCAGCGTCTCCGCAACGATGATGTGCGTAGGCGAGTACTAGGCAGTGATAACCAAGCTAGTTCCTTGGAACAACAGATAGCACTGAATAAGTTTCGTTGGCTTCGGCACGTACTACGTAAGCCTGGTCACCGCTTACCTAGGAGGGCCTTGTTTAGTGTGCCAGATGTAGGGTGGTGCAAGGCCTTGGATGTACAAAAGTTAACTTGGCTTCGGGAAATGAAGTCACTGAAAACAACTGGGTGCTATTCGCCTGTCTCACCTTCCATTCTGGAGCCCACATGACCCACCTAGTGATTGGTTCGAGACGATGCAGTACATGTCCCGTCGCCGGTACTAGTGGCGTACCTGTTGTCGTATCGTAGTCGGACTGCCTGTTTAAAGTATATTTTATACTGAATTATCTATGGGGTTATGACTGATTATGAAGCGGGGTAGTGAAAGCCACAAATACACTATTTGTGAGGGTACGTTGCTAACAAGATGAAGGCACTTGGCACTGAACAATTTTTTAGAGCAATAAAGTTTCACTTTAGGTCATCTTTCTCTCTCTTATTCTTCGTTTCGTAGGTCATCCTAGTCGTACAGCAGCGAAGTATCTGGTCCTATGACTAGTTTACTGCTGCTGCTGCTGCTGCTGCTGCTGCTGCTGCTGCTGCTGCTGCTGCTGCTGCTGCTGCTGCTGCTGCTGCTGCTGCTGCTGCTGCTGCTGCTGCTGCTGCTGTTGCTGCTGCTGCTGCTGCTGCTGCTGCTGCTGCTGCTGCTGCTGCTGCTGCTGCTGCTGCTGCTGCTGCTGCTGCTGCTGCTGCTGCTGCTGCTGCTGCTGCTGCTGCTGCTGCTGCTGCTGCTGCTGCTGCTGCTGCTGCTGCTGCTGCTGCTGCTGCTGCTGCTGCTGCTGCTGCTGCTGCTGCTGCTGCTGCTGCTGCTGCTGCTGCTGCTGCTGCTGCTGCTGCTGCTGCTGCTGCTGCTGGTGGTGATGATGATGATGTTAGTGACAAGGTTGAGATTCCATACACTCTCTGATTACTGTTACTGCAAACTCGGCCAATGTGGTACCTATTGTAACGCACCCAGAAGGTGTGCACTACATAAAACCATGGTTTCTACAACTGACGCTATAAACAGTAGATGTAGCAGAGTCAGGTCGGTTACTCAAATCAGGTCGTTTCCAAGCTCTGTTACTAAGCGTTTCACTTTCTCGGCTGTCTAGTGGACTAATCATTAATAGGGGAAATGTAACCCAAGGGATCACGACAAACTGAAGAAAGAAAAACGGGTCTTATCCATCGTGTCACGGGTCTTCAGAATTTTCATAAATAAGCTGTCCTAACTAATGGCTGAGAGGGGCAGTGTTATGTCCGCCAGGCACTGTACCTTGAGAACCTGATTGCCAAATCGATCTCAAGACTATCCTTACCTTGTGACTACGAACGACATTGTTCAATGATGATGAAAGTTGTGAGATAGTTCAGATTCATGAAAGAGAGAGAAATTTGAAATATGGAATTTAAACAATGGGGCCAATGGAGTGATAAAGTCAACCAATGGTTTTTACCTAAAGGTTATCATCGTCAGGTCATAGTCGGTTAACAGAGTGCAGAGTCGAAAACATTCAGTAACAGATTTTCAAAGCGGAATATAATAGAGCAAATCCCACTGCCGAGTGGGTCAATGGTTATTCAACACTTGCTGTGGACGACCCATACTCAGGTCAAATGTGATACCGCCTCTGATGTCAAAATGTTACCAACGTACAATCCATAGTCGAGCATATTAAGGTCGGTGTTAGCTCATACCTAACACTTGTACCAAAGGATGTGCTTTTATCCCCTGAAGCACCATATTATTCATGGACTAACGCACTACGCCTTCTAAGGAGTGTTCGAGTCTAAATGACTTCAGGCTTCTAAGCTTCGAAACCTCATCGTTGTAACCGAAACTTGGATGAACTACGTAATTACTCATGCCGAAGTCATCCTACCAGACGTCAATTCTAGGTAACATTTGAATTGTGACACAGGCCGTCTACTTTTCCAACAATACAAGCTCGAGACTTCAAGTGTGTATACTCCGCGGAAGTTCACCTTGTTAACTCACTCTGGCGTTGCCTTAAACTAAAGTGTGATGAAATACTTTCGATCGATATCAAGTGAGTGGCTCCGCGGTACAATTGCAAAATAGATTATCGACCAGGTTCGCTTATGAAGACCGTTATAACACGACCTTACATAAGGTCAGCTTTGGGGAACACTTCAAGACGCATCTTTTATAGGCCCCGGATGCCGTCCACGTCTGCTACACCGTTGCGGATCTGCAGAAGATACGGATGTTTATGCGGGCAAGTGATGCTGCAATACGTCTACAAGCGGATACCTACAGATTGTTCCGTCTACCGAGCTGAGTTATCTCAATGCAAAAACCCAGTCACCAATCTAGTTGGTATCTTTTATGCGCAGTTGTAGTAATACCGAAACACTTGTTGTTTATGTTGCTTTTGCTGTGGCAGCACCGGGAAGCCTCCGTGCATAGGCCATGAAGTTTTACTGACAGTGTCTCCATGCGTGAGCATGGAATGGTACTTTACAACGCATCCATTGATGAAATGTGGGTTACCGCTAAAAACTCATCTGTGCCGAATTCAGAGCAACTCTTGTTTGACTTTACTTGACTCCTTAGCCACATCACATCTCACGAAATCCAAATTGGTGGGCAAACAGGCCGTAGCGGACCTCTTGTTCGCCAACAAGAAACTTGTGATGGACGCCATAAAAGTGAGCAGTTCCTGGGACTCTGTGACAGTGCAGCTATAATTTCTCCCTGTGTCTTGTCCAAGCGACGCTTAAAAGAAATAGTGAAACTGCATGCGTCAGCACCAATCAGTACTTCCTATCTAACGTCATCAAAACCATCGCGTGGTCATTCTTACCTGAACAACTGCTTGAAACCGCAAGGGGGAGAATCTGTCAATGAGCAATGAATAATGGTTTACATGGGGTAAAAGCCAGTGCTTGACACGTCCTACAGGATGGTTGAGGTGAATATGACGGAATCATAATATATCTATGTCATCTAACGAAAGTTTACCGAGAAGAATAGTTTGATAAATAACATCAGCGTAAATTAAAGAATCGGGCGTAAGGGTTCGGAAATACATTGGGGTGCAATGATCGTTGATATAAGGCGTGAGGAAAATAATATATAGTCGCTCACTTATGTCCAGTTGATACATAACTCTTGTAGAAAAGCATGCTTGGCGTAATCCACGCTAGATGAGTTCACGTAACAAAATGCTGGGAGCTAATAAAACATCTAACCGTTTTTTGAAAATGTCCAAATTAGGGGTGGATATAAAGGAGTCTAGGAGTGCGTCTCAGCGTTAGCAAACCCGAAGGGTAAACTAATTCCGTCGACACTCAAGACAGCTATATTGTTCCTTTAATATTAAGCAGTTACCCCTGAGCTGAGTGTTGCGGCCAAGTTTCAGCAAGTGGCGGCGTACGTGTTTGGGTTCCCCCAATATCTGATACACTAACAAGAGATCGCCGTGCAGCCTTCAAAAGCGTCCGCTGAAAATTCAAAGCAACTTAAGCTTTCGGTGGCAAGAGTGATAGCGCAGGCCTTTTACATTCTTTGTTGCTCCTCCTAGTTATGCATCTAATGACTCTAGACCACACTTCAACCAAGGCTGCCAAGCTTGGATGCGGGCGCACGTAGGTATTATGCATCATTGGAAAGAAGGGTTGGTAGAATCTCCCAAATGCTCTTCGCAGCATGCCGACATGCTGGTTGCCTCTTTTCGCAGCCACCTCCGCCGGTTATAAACAGTTGTGGTCGCTCTGTACGAGCACAATAACGCCACGTTCTTAGGAGCTGATCTGTAATTCGTGTGCCCCAAGCAAATATGTGTAGTCATGTCTATGGCGTAATTACACAGTGCGACATTTGAGTAGGTTGAATGGTAGGGCGTTTCGAATTGACCAGTTCGACGCTGTGTTAAGATCTCACTGGAGCTGTTTATGGACTTCAGGTCCTCTGATCCTTCGCCATATCTTGAGATCATCACGAAAAATAAACAATTGGAAGCAGTTGATCTCGCCACATCGATAATAAATACCAGAAGCAGACCAGATCCAAACACAGAGACTTGTGGTACTCCACACCACATCGATTGCATGGGACAATAATTAACGGACTCTCACAACCAGCTGTCGTTGGCTTAAAAAATTGCTAATCCAACTCAGGATTAGGTCGCCAATGCCGTAGTTCTGAAGCTTCTGTAGGAGAATTCCATGGTCTAAGCGATCAAACACTTGGCAAGCCCAGGTAGATGACATCGACTGCTGCTCCATCATAAACAGCTTCAGCACAGCTTGTACCTGCAGTTGATAGTTTAGTATTACTCGAACGCCTTTGAAGAGAGTCAGGTTACCCTGGAGCAATTATGTTATGGCTTTCCAGATACTGCATCAGCGCGTCTGCGATGACTGATTCCATCACTTTGGATAGTATAGGAAGTAGTGTTATTTGACAGTAGTCGGTATGGTCAGTGCGGCTACCTCCTTTATGGATAGGACTGATGAACCCTCGTATCCATATTGATGGAATATGCTTCTGTTCTAGACATCGTTGAGATAAAACAGCCGGTGCTTCTGATAGAAAATTAGCTATCAACTGCAGATCCTTTGGTCTGATTTTGTCGACTCCAGGAGAACTGTGGATACGCAAGGATAACAACTTCTTCAACACAGCTTCCGCAGTGAAGGTGCTATTATCTAAACCCGACGGTGGAGTTATAAAAACGAGGAGAATGTTTGGACTCGTTACGTGCTGGACACTTTGGGAGTACTGAAGCCGTAGGAGATCAGCTCTTTCCATTGCTGATCGTGTGCACGCATCAGCCGTGAATAGTGCTGGAATACCCCGCTTTACCTTTCGAAGGCCGTTAACGTGGCCATACAGGAGTTTGTGATTTGTACAGAATCGCTTCATTAACTTCTGCTGATGAATGACCTTACCTTTGCTGATCAGTTTCAGAGAGAAGTTGCGATGTGTCACGTATACAGTCCAGGTTGCGGCATTCGAGCAGTCCTGGTGATCTCGTAATGTCAAATCCCTTCGGGACATACATTTACGTCTTCTGCTCCTCAGAAATGACTTATGCTTGTTTTCGTGTTGGAAGGAATTCCTTTCCGATGCGTGGGCTATCAGTGTGCTAAACGTCCTTGAAAGGTTTTACAGACAAATTCTGGAGGGAATTCGGTTAAGAAAGTCCAAGATGTATCCCCAACAAGCTTAGGTAACACATTACAGTGCATGACAGTATGCACTTTCTCATCCTCCGTTACAGGATACTCCGCATAGCATATATAGTCAAACAGTAGAGTAAAACGATCACTAAAACCCAGTGGTGGGCGTGTAACTATGTCGTCAACTATGAGTTCCTTTTAGTGAGCACAGTATCCAGTATTGAAGGCTTGTTCGCATTTGGAAATCGGTTAATGGCGGCTAGTGGTAGTACAATGGGTGGCAAGCAATTAGCTCTTGCAAGCAGGCTTAACACTGCGTACCGTCGGTTGCTGGATTTCTATGTCGTGCAGGTTAAAGTCTCTAGCAATTACAATGTGGGTGTAGGACTTGTTCAAAGTAAACTGAAAGACGTGGCTCAGTTTGGAGTCCATTTCTGAGGTTGAGTTTGGTGGGCGGTAAATCACGGCTAGTAGACATGTGTCCTCGTTTCGCAACCATAAGCGGCACCAAAGCGAATCAGGAACTCCGATTTCCGGGTGATCGATAACTTCACATCGGATGTTTGTATTAGAGGAAAGAATTATACAGCCACCCCTTCCGGTTCTATCGGTCCGAAGCAGCGACATACTGGGTAAATCGATCTCAGAATCGGTTATCTCAGGGTTTAACCAGTTCTCTGTAATCATGACCAGGTCCCGCGGTTGTGAGGCAGAGTTTTCTAAGTTTGGTCAAATTATTTAAAAGGCCTTGGGCGCTTGTGTACATAAAAGATAGGG